AAATGATTCTGATTTTCAAGAAGAATAAGAGGAGAAAAAGTGGGGGCTTGACCCTTCGGGTCTTGCTCTCGCGGCCGCTTGAACCAGCGGGCAGCGGGTATGATTTTCTCTTGGCTTTTAGCTGGCGAGAATTTGCATTCGCATAAGGTATAGAGCTCAGCATAGAATTCCGATTCTCTTGTTCCAAGAATTGAAATGCAGATTCTCGTTGTGATCCGGATGCCGTGTTCTGTTTTTCCCAACTTTGACTTCCTAATTAGATTCTGTTCTGAAGGTGCTCGTGCATTTCGAGGCTTCCAGAATGAAAGAGACTCGTATAGGATCCGTCTAAGGCGTGCGATGCTGTTTATTCTGCCTGTGTCAGCTGCGTCAATTTTTTCATCCTTCCATGCTCTGGAATTTATTTATTGAAAGGACAGCTTCAGTGGTGTTTCAACCCAGTCATCTTTAAAATTCGCAAGAAATGTCTATCTCCATTAACGAGGGTTTTGTGAATAAAGGACAGCAGGAATAATGTGGTGCTCGAGTAAACTTTGGACGCTGGATGATCTGTGGAGCTGTCAAATCACCTTATTAATCGGTTTACGAAGGTATTCCCGAGTAAAGTGAGTGTTGCGGTTTGGACTTCACCCCGTGAGTGATTTGTTTTTTTTTATTTGTTTTACTTTAATAATTATCTAATATTCAGCAAGAGTCTGTCATTTTAATGTTTGTTGAAATTTGAGCAATTACTTAAATTAATTAATCGATGTGAAAATTATCAGTGTTCTTAAAGTGGAATTACCATGATAAATACTTAAAGTTAGAAGATTGAAATGGGAGAAATACTAGTGTTACACTTATGATACAGTAGAATTTGATAATGTTAATCTTAATTAATGTAAGCTGTAATTTGGTGTCTGGTATTATGTGTTATTTTGCTAGAAAAATATGTGGTAGGATTACTGATCATTTATCCATTATTTAATTAATATAATATATTCAAGAATTTAATAAATGTGTGTTTAAAATTTAATGTTTCATTAGTGTAATTTATCTGTGTATAATTTACTGTGGTCTGTCATGTCCCTCCATTTGTTTGAGCCGGGAGGCTTTTAAGAAACATGGAGTTTAATTGAATTTGGGGTTATCGTTTTTTTTCCCCTTTTGCATAGGTTACTCCCAACGCAAACCTAAAAGTTAAATTGTACTACCACTATACGATTGATAGATATGATATACGAATGTTTATAAGAATGCCGATATGATATATGAATGTTTTGAATTATTTAATTTCTTTAGTTAGTTTTGTCCGGCACCATGTGTTGAGTTAAGTTTTAAGTTTAAAAAAATATATAAAATGATAATTTTCAGATACATAACATTAGCCCTCTAATGAGTCATGATAGGATATTGTCTTGCAACGGATTCCTAGTCATGGCAATAAGTAGGCAGATGTGCTCACTATGGCGGGTCATGGCCTTAATTCTTTCATATCAAAGTTGCCCAAATCGGCAAGTTGCAAATATCAAATCAGCGAACATACTTATTTTCACTGCAAGAAAAAAAAAATAAAAATTCTACTTCTGTTAGACATAACATTTCAAGAACCCCGCATAAAAAGGAGAATTATTTCACTACCGCCAGCCAACATGCTCGTGAATTTATGGCATCAATCGAAAATGTAAAGTCATTATTTTGTATTAAGGGTCATAAATCAGAATCGTGCTATATTTGTAATGCCAATAAAAATATATTTATGGGTGCCCCTTAGTGAAAATTGGCGATTTTTGGCATTATATGAATATCGAGTTTGTGCAATTCTTTGACTTGTTATTTTGGCTTTGTGTAGCGTCGATTTTTGCCCCAAAGATCGCCACTACACAAAGCCAAAATAACAAGACAAAGAATTGCACAAACTCGATATTCATGTACACATCAACCTATTTTCACTTAAAAAACATCAGAGAATTGCACAAACTAGGCATTGCACACTCCTTTGACTTGCCCATGTACATATCGAACTATATTCACTTAAAAAGTCAAAGGAGCAGCCTACAAAAAAATATATAATCTCAATAAACTCAAACAATGAAATAACATAAAAAAAAGGAAATAAAATAGGAAAAGGAAATAAACAATGATATAACATAAAAAAAAAGAAAGGTTAAATCAAACAATGAAATAACATAAAAAAAGGAAATTCATCTTTGCACTACACAAAGGAAATATCCACATACCTTATTTACGAATTAACATGTCTTCAGTCAAACAAAATTCCTTAACGGCATCTAAAAACTTTTTAAAATTATTTGAACTGGAATCTGTACACTGGCATCACTATATAAATTCACAAAATAAAGAGGCAAAAATATTCTCCGTAGTGCCGTTCAACCATACGCATTTCCTTCCTACAAACAGGACACTTAATAATGGCTACTTTGTAAACCTTCATTTACACACCAGTCAAGTAATGCTCTTTTTTCCTTTCTTTCCAAATCGTACAGAAACTTCAAATTAATTTTACCACATTCAGCCATTTTACCATCTAAATCACAAAACAAGCAATATACTTCCAACACACACCCAAGCCCTTACGAATTTAACGCAATCATGCACCCGATTACATCATAATAGAGTTTCCATAAGATTCAACTACTCAGGCTATCATAAATGAAATAACAGCTTGGCGATAAATGAAACAATTTGGTGATAAATGAAATAACTCCACGATAATACAAAGGGTACCTTTCTCTCTACTCTAACCAAAATTTTTATATATATTTCAAACCAAAATTCTTATATATATTTCAAACACATGCAAAAGGGTTATCAAAATGTAAAAACAATATGTCATGATAGAGTATAATCAGAGAAACTTTAATTAGCTTCTCATTTACATTGGTTTAATTCAAGAACTGAATCAGTTTTTAAGCAAAATATATTTTTGGATCATTTTCATACTCAATTTCAACACTGGCATGTTTTTTAGCATATTTTTTTTATACCATGCATGCACACACGACACATGTGTTTGTGCACATGTAAATTCATACACATAATATTCAGCTGTCTTTTACACTGAAAAGTATCCACCAGGTGTAAAAATTTTAATGTTGGCTAGATAGTCTTTCCTTCCCTCTGATAGAATATTTTTCTTACAGAAATATTTTTATTTATGAAAAGAACAGTACCTACGAGCTTTAAAAATAGATAAGTATATGGTATTAACCAATTCACAAAGTCACTAATGAATTGAGTGCTTTTTGTGTGTGCGGGGTAAATAATCAGGAAGCACGAAATATTTACAGAAATATATTCCCATTGCTTTATCTTTTAAGATAACAGCTCTACAATAATCATAATACCTTATATTTATCAAATTATTATACGTAGGTTTTAACTATTATTACAGCAAATAAACTACTTTTAACATAACAATTATTAAATTCATAAAACAATAAAAATATTGGTTTGCTTTTAAGTTACTGTATTCTTTACAATATTTTAACCTTTAAATATGTCAATAAAGCTGTCATATTTTAATTGCAATCTTCAATATTGCAGTATTAAAGCCTCAATTAAAATATATTAGTGTCCACAACTAAAATCTCAAGGAAAGCTCATAGCATAAAATTCAGGACAAAAAGTGTTATTGCTAAAAGAACTGCTACTGTGGCCCCAGAGTGGTTAGACAGATACATATAATTTCAGAAAAACATAATTAATCTTATTAAATTTAGGTTACTTTAATTTTCTTACAATTTTATGAAACCTTATTAGTATTTTCTACTTTCTGCATTTTATTTTCCTTACTGAAAAACAATCTGCATTTTACTTTTCTTGGTTTAAAAAAAACAAATATCCTGTAATTTCATATTAAAAGAGCTTAACTTGAAGATTTTAAAAAAGACCTAAGAATTATTTATTTTTGCCCTCCTGAAACAAACACAAAAAATTCATTCATTACAGTGAACAACTCAAGTGATCAATAATCTGTAAAAGCAGATCTTAAGGACTCAAGATATTTTAGCACTTATTTTAATAAACATATGAGGAAAGAGTTCAAAATGTACAAAGTAAAATTATTACACCTAAAAATTGCCATAAACATTACTTTAGGAAACACCTGTTAAAATATATACAGGAAAAATCAATTTTACCGCAAATATGGAAAAACAAAACAGTGATATTTAAAATTTAATATGAAAATAACAAACTGAAAAGGATTTTAAAAAAAAAAGTACCATTATCAGTAAAAAAGTGCCTTGTATCTAAACTTTAAAATAAGAACATAACTGGAATTGGTCAGAGGAAAAGTAAAAACAAATTCAACAATGTTTACGGAATACATTAGTATACACAATTATGTATAAACAATAAAGCATACTTTTGTACAGCTTCAATTTAATAACGTCGCGTTAAAATTTAAAAGGAATACGGCATGAGCAATTGATTATCGATTCCTACACGTAATTCAGGAATAAAAAGCAAATAAACTATTCGAGGACATACAAGTGAAAATCGCACGGCATAATACATACAGTTTGTGATTATTTGTGCTTAGTCTTAACGATATCTTACAGCATACTTTTAATAATATTTCCGAAGTAGTTAAAATACTTTTCCAACGATTTACATTTAGCTTTTTTAAAAGTATTGGAATTAATATACTAAGACTGAAATGTTGAAAGGTACTAAAAACCATAATTTAAGTCATTTTAAAGAGAAACAATAAATTTCTTTAGTACTGATGAAAGCATACAATTATCTCCTACTAAAATAAAACTTATTAAAAATTTTAAAAACAAAATAAGGGATTTGCTAACATAATTAAGGAGATAAAAACTAAATTACTGTTTTCCTTGAGATATGTACCACAGATTACTTGAAATTATCAATAGAATAATCTACCATGGAACAATAAGTCACCATACTTAAAAAAGTGCTTTTTTCATGTACACTTATTTGAGAAATGATGCAAATCAAAACTCATAAAATAGCACAATCGGTAAATTTACCTTTGATACCTCCAGATATGGCGAAACCACAGCAACAGCTCATTACAAGTAAGGAAAAATTCCGGAAGGCTACAAACAAATAATCTCTGAAATGTCAACCGTAACCGTTCAGGGGATATGAGGCAAACGAATTCAAATCAGGCATTTCGGATTTAAAAAAAGTAATACAACCCACAAGTTTTTATGACTTTTCAAAGATGATAAGAAAAATAGTTCTAGAAGAGTTATTATCAAGTGTATAGTCTTCTAAATCTGAAGTAAATCAAGATGCATTAAATTACCCTGACATGTTCTTATTCAAGAAAGTAACTAGAAAAGACGTGCAATTTTTTCTTTCAAGCTATCTGTCAAAATAGATGACAATAATTTCAAAATTATTTAACTCTTAAGAGCAACAGCAGTCCGTCTTTGAAAGATTTTTTCAGTTACCGGAACAGCAGAATTTAAAGTTCTGGAATCAGATACCTTTCTCAAATAAAGTTTATTGGCGTCAGAAAAAGTATTTACATAATAATATATTGCGTTTCAATTAATCTGAGATATTTATTGGCCGTCTAACACTCTGCTTGCAGAACATTTGCCAGCAATTTTAGCCGGCGGGCAGAAAGATTTAACACCTGCTAAAACAAATTGCTCTTTGTCGCACGATTTCATCGTTGTGTTGCAAGTGTTTAACGTTTCATTTTCGTTGAAATTCGACATAAAATCAGGTACGTATTTTATTTTAATTGTTGTTTAATCATCAAAGAATAATGTGCAAAAGAAAATTTGATGAAATATCTGACATGATTTATAGTGTCGAGAAAAAAATTTCAGTAAACATGGAAAATCTTCGCCTGAAAGCGATTTTAAGATCAACGTGCAAGCGGCTGAAAACAGATCTTCACAAAATCCGACGAAAACAAAAGAAAAAAAAGATGACAAAGAAGAATACTTATGTTCGCTTAGCTCTAAATGAAAAGTGGAGAAATGATGAGACTATCAGTACGAACATCGAACATAAAGACTCATCCACTGAAGAGGATGTGTTAGGTCTGGATGAATTTTTTAGGAATTTGAAAATGCTTAACATTGAACATAAAGTTTCATCCACTGAAGACGATGTGTTAGGTCTGGATGAATTTTTTAGGAATTTGAAAATGCTTGGATGAATTTTTTTAGGAATTTGAAAATGCTTGGATGAATTTTTTAGGAATTTGAAAATGCTTGGATGAATTTTTTAGAAATTTGAAAATGCTTAGTGAGGTTAAAGGTAGTTGTGTGTTTATTAATGCAAAAATCTTTCGAGGCGGACTGCTGTTACGCTTAGAAATAATTTTTTGAAGGTATTGGGATCTGTTTAGAGAGATACTTTAGGGAATAAAATGTACAGCCTCATTGTTACATTTCTCTCCAAGAACATGCTAGGGTATTAGCACATCTCATTTATGTTAACTCATCTTGAATTACAATCCTTTTGTTAGCATTCATGAATTGCCTAACTGTAGGATTATTATTCCACCTACCACATACACATATCAAATCAAAGAATAATTTAATGTGATCCTGACTTATTTTATATGCAGGCAAGTAAATTAATACTGGTTCTGAACACTGTATAACATTTCTATATTTCTAACAGTCCCAGTAAACTCTCAGCACATACAATCAAACCCAGGAATCCAGTTCTTCTGTTTGTTTGTATCGAGAGAAGTTTCTCTGGATACGTTTTTAAAGAAAAAGGGTATTTGATAGCATCTCTTAAGTATTCAGAAACATTCTGAGGATATAACGGCTTCTTCCATTCTCGTTGACGTATATTTTGAGAATTAAAAATATTGAAAATACGATTGATGTGCCTAAGCAATTTCAGTGTTGTTTCTGAATTTTCACAATTTATTAAGCCCATACTTTGACACTCTTCAGTTGCATCAGCAACTGAATCACACATCAGTTGTGCTGCAAGTTGTACACTCATTTTTTGCCGGAACCATTCCAAATGGCATTTCCGCAATTTATTTGATAGATGCAATCCTTCTGCATCTTGTACTTCTTGCAGTTTCACAAGGAAACTCCAAGTTATCAATTGAATTTCATTATCTATTATACATTTCTTCTCTCCCAATGTATTCCTTATTAATTTCAACATGTGACATGGGTCCAGAAATGCAAAAATATTTTCTTTATTTGAAGGATGCTGAAAAGAAGTTAACAAAGATTTGTTAGTATCAAATGAACATCCTAAGTGTTTGGCCATGCTCATGTTGCATGCAGTCCCATCAAATGTTAATGATACTACCTTGATACCAGTTTTTTCAACTAATATTAGACACTGCTAAACTAAATTGCTTAACTGAGTCCAGAAATACCATCTACATGAAAATAACCTATTGGTAATTTCCAACTATTGCTTATGCACACAAGCATAAAAGCTACGGCTTCTTTTGCAACAAGCAGACAGTCATTGTTTAGATCTGTCCCCATATCGACATAGCCATAATGTTTCTTGCCATTCCATCTATAAGCAAACTGCATATAAGTGGGTATTGTTTAGCAGATAGTGCTTCATGTGTAAGAAGTCCTAAAATTTCATCACTGAAGGCTGGTGAACCATCAACACATTTATATCAATTGCACAAAGTCTGTGGTTGTGGCAAACATGTGTCAAATGTTTCCCTAACATAATTATATGCCTTAGAAGAGTAAAAATGTAGCATCATTGCAAAAGATCGCAATTCTGGTGTATATTTAATAGAGGCAGGGTTTCCTTTGACCTTGGCTATCCTGGTGTTTCAATATTACTGTGAGCAGTTTGGTGTTGAATCCATCTGTGATATAGTTGATAACTGTTAGTAATTGATGTGAGTGCTATGTTTTTCTCTGAAGCCAAATTGTTGGTCAGGCAGGTAGTTGAAAGAATGAATATTTTGCCGGATATTATAAAATATCATACGATCAGTTATTTTTGTAAGGTTGCTCAGTAGACTAATGGGACGGTAATTATCTAGAATTGCTGGATTGGAGTAAGGTTTCGGGAAGACAACAATAATTGCGTGTTTCCAAATTTTAGCATAATAAGCCAGTTTGATGATGCTGTTGATAATTTTAGTGAGACAGGTGATGGCGTTGATGGTAAGATTCTTCAGAGCAATATTTGTGATTCCATCGTCTCCTGGGGCTTTTTCTTCTTCTGATAATTGATAAATTCCGCTACGGTGATAGAATTTGTAAGGAAAGTAAAGTTGCGAGGTCCAGGGGTATTGCGAAAGTTGTTAACAAGGCTACATTTGTTGTGCCTTCATCATATGGGTCAAGGTTATGAGTGAATGTTTCTTAGCAAAGTGTCTGCAATAGCGTTCGCTTTGTCTTGATTGGAATATACGACGCCGGAGCTGGTGTGAAGGTTAGGGATTTATTTATAACTATTTTTGAGATTTCTAGTGATTTTGTAAAGGCTATTGTCTTCTGTAGATAAGTCATTTAAATAATTTTTCCATCTGTCTTGCTTGAAATCTGCGATGCTTCTTTTAATTTCATTTTGGATCCTGTTGAGTTGGTTTTTAATAATGGGTCTCCAGAGTTTTGCCAGATTTTTCGAATCCTGTGTTTTCTTCTAATCTTATCCTTGATTTCCCAGGGGAGAGGCATAGAATTGTTTTTGATGTTATTGGTAGCTAGATTGATGGCATGTTGAATATTTTGGGTGAATTTATCAATTTCTTCTATTTAGGATTTTTTTTCAATTTTTGGGTTGCCTGATATCGTAGAGGTTAAAATTTCGGAGAACTTGGGCCAATTTGTAATTCCCACACACCGTTCCAAAGTTGGGGAGTAGGCATTAGTGGATATTTCAAGCATGATCGGGTTGTGGTCGAATGCTAAGGCTGGAATGGCAGAGATGGTGCAGGTTGGAGTTAGGCTACTGGAAAGAAAAAAGTCTATTGTAAAGTGGCTATTGTACCCGTAATGGGTGGGGTCATCGGTGACATGTATGTTAAGATTTCTATTTTGAATGAGGTTGAAAATTTACCTGCGTATTTTATTAGATGAGTTACGATTCCATAATCTAAGTTTGGCGTTGAAGTTGCCTTTCACTATTGCAGTAGAGTTTGTAGAATGTAGTATTCCTAGTTCTATCATGTCCGGGTTATTTCTTGGTGGGATGTAAATATTAGAGATTATGTATCTTTGATTGTTGAATTTCATTATTATGCTGTTGCTTTCAAATGAGATTGAATTATTGGTGGGAATTTGATGATCAAGACCTCTTTTGACATAGGTGCAAATTCCTCCCCCCCCCCTTCCTGTGTCCTGGTCTGTCCGGTAGATATTATAATTTGCTATTAGTACTTTTTTGCACGGCTTCAGGTGAGTTTCTTGAATAAGAATTACGTCTGGTTACAGGTCTTGAATTAGGTAGTTAAATTCTTCTTTTTTGCCAAACAGAGTGTTCGCATTCCAAGAGAGTATTTTTAGTGAGCTGCGACTGTTATTGATTGGATTGTTAAAAATAGCTGCTAATTTTTTCTAAGACGTCTATAACGACTCCGAACTTTTCGATTGTGTTGGTTGCTGACTTAAATTGCTTGATTCCGCTAATAATGACTTCCCATACATGTTTGAGACTATTGAAGTTGAAAATTCCGGAGACTAGGGAGCTATTGGATTTTTGGGAGTGTTCGCTGCTATTTTGTGTTGAATTAGTATTAGTAGGTGGTACTGTTTCTGTCTTGATGTTGTTTCTTGTCCACGGCTTGATTTTAGGTGTTGCACTTGGTATGAACTTGGATTTATCTGAGTTTGGGCGTGCCGGACACAGAGCCCGTTCAGACGAGGGCGTAATGGACATAAGTGGTTAAAGCCAAGCTGCGTTGCCAAGGCAACCAGTCTGTGCTACGTCACATAATCTGGTTTAAGGCTCGTGGCGCAAGGTTGAAAGTTTTCAACTTTACGCCGAGTTTGGGATAAGCGTCGACCAATCAGAGCGAAGCTAAAACGAAGCGGGACAATTTCGCTGTCACTTCGAAGGCGACATTTTTTTTTAATATGGAGCGCATCGTGTCCAATGAAATTTTAATCGCTGGAGTCTAGAACCATCCCGTAATTTGGGATGCAAGATCCATGGACCACAGAAATCTGAACCTCGTTCAGAA